ACACCATGCCTTCCAATTCCTATACTAGCTTCCTAATTGTCGGAACTTCTCCTCACCCTCTGAGAACTGTTTTCTTCCCCTCTGACCAGAGCCTGGAGGCTGAATTTGGGGCTTCAGGACCCAGCTTGACCTGACAGAGAGCACAGTGTGATCCTATAGCTGGAAAAAATAAGTCCTCGGGTTTCTGCTGCTCACCCTTAATCACTGCAGCCTGAGCGACTGCCCTAAACAGGATGTGGGTTCTGACATGGCAATATATTTAATAAACTTAATTGCTGTCATTAATATGAGCCAGGGACACATTAAAATATATCAAGCTGCAGCAAATTACCCCCACTCTTTTGTTACCTTAATTTTCCACGTCTTGTTGAAAAGTCACAGTGGAACAACTAAGCAGAACCTTTGCAACACACCATAAACAGTGCAAACCTCAGTGAAAGATACACTGTAAAATAAATAACTTTTCCAATGGAAAGCATAAGTCACCTGCATATTAAACTGGAGAAATCTGTATAAATGGACAGATTGTACAGGCTGGGGTGTAATCATTATACCAACAAGTCTTACATATTGTACTGTTTCAGCTACCATACTTCACTGCAATTATTAGCCTCCTTTTCTGCCAACTCCGAGTTTAACATACTGTCCCCCTGCCAAGGCCATTTGATTATAAATAGCAAAACATCACGTAAATGCAAGCATGTGGGGAGCAGATACAGCACAGAAAAGTGGGCCATTGGGAAGAAGTATTTACTTTTTTTAGGGTCTGATCCTGTACAAACATTTAGTCATGTGAATAGCTGGCTGTTCTTGAGCAGTTTCCCGAAATTCAAAGAGGTTATAAACCTTAAAGAGACAAATGTAATAACTTGCAAGATCCAGTTCTTGAAAATCTTGTTTGGAAGTTTTTAATAAAACCATGGAAATTAAAATAAGAGATATATTTTGGAATCAGTTCGTTCTTCACAAATGTTATATATTGAAACAACAAAATCTCATGGCCAGGTAGCCAGCTCATGCACACTTAACTACTTTTATCACCAACAGACTATAACGTATGTGTTAAGTACTCATGATTTGATAGATTTCTTCCTAATTTGTGGCCAATGATCTGATAGTGCAGGAAAAGATTTCACAGGAAGAAGAAAATGGGAAAGCTGGAAAATGTCACTACACGGAGCCACCTCATCATATATACTAATTATCTACCATTTGCACAGCACCAGTGACTTATGTAGGCATTCTGTGATTAGCTGTGGAGACAAGGAGCCAAACCCTGACCTTCATCAAAGTCAATGGCAAAACTCCCATTGATTTCAGTGGAATCAGAGTTTGACTTCATGTGAATTATAGGGTTCAAAGATGCTTCTTCAGTCACATTGCTCTGCAGAACCAATCCTGCAGACAAAAAAATACTTTTTTATGGGTTGTCATTAAGGCCTACTTGAAGTGTAAGCACTCCACAAGAGTGTATCATTTATGGGACCACTTGAAGTCTGCTCTGACCTTCTCTTTCCACTAAGTCTTATGTACCTCATTACTCTTGATCACACACAGAGAAGACAATACTATGTAGACACTATGGAAGGTGATGCTTCTAACAAATATATGCTGAAAAGTACATGCTCATATGAAAAGGTGATACAGCATGTCCCCATTACAGAAGTCATGATAGCCTGTCTCCATTGGCTAAACACTTGCACCTTTATCTCCGACTTGTACCTTTATCTCCAACTGCTGCAACAGTGAATGCAACTATGAGAGAGAGGAACTCACACCTGGACTTGTTGGAAGTTTAAATATGTCCAGGCCAAGGGAATGACACAGCTGACCATTGAGAGGAAGCAAAGAGGTCTCCTCCTCCTCCTCCACCGAAAAGCCCTTCCCCTCCTTCAAAGGGCAGGGAAAGATGCCATTGCAATGGAGACAATGATTAGAATGAGAAAGAACCAGTGAAAACCTCATTATTTCTTTGCATAAGCAATCTGTGTGGAAAATGCTTCTTGAGCAATGGCCTGGCAAAAGGAGATCCTAGCACTAAGTCTGAAATAATAGATAATATCTAGGTGAGTAGCCTCAGTTATCCAAAAAGGCATTTTAGTAACATTTATCACTCCAGGATCCAAATCCTCCAAAAAAATCACTGCATCACTCTCCAGAGAGGTCCATAACTGCAACCTTTATATTACAGGAAACTTTTCAGAGCAAGGAGGAATGAGGTAATGAGTTTTGCTCAAGAGCTCTCTGAGGAGGACAAAGGCAGAACCGAAGTCATATCTTTGGAAACCTCCATGTTTTGCTTTCATTCTACAACTGCCCTGCTCTTTAATCCACTGGCACGTTGTCTCTGTCAAGGGGAAGTGGATTTGGGATGAGGTATGGAAACATGGTGAATATTTTAACCCTCCCTACTGCAGTGCCATTTTCATGTCTGAGATCTTGAAGATCAATGCTTTACATGGTAGGGAGGTAGCCCTGCAAACGAACCTCTGCCTTGCAAAGTCAGCCTGGCAGAAGAAGTCCCCCTGCCACAAAAATGGAGGAAAATCCTTTTTGGGGGGGGTTGTTTTTAAATGGAAGATTAGATTTTGTAGAAAATAGAAAAAAATATGGAGCAGCCTGTGAGTTTCCACTGGCCCCTAGCCATGACATGCAAAAGCAAAAAAAAAGGGAAAAAAAAAAAAAGGAATGAAAACACTTTTATCATTTTGTTCCTTTAGGAGGGCCCAGAAGCTGTGTGTCCTGCAAGTGCCACGTTTCTTTGTTGCACTCCAGCAACCAACACAGATGTAGCGAGGCCAAGAGCTGGATGCTTATGTTTTGTGTATCTTGGATGTAAGGCTTTGGAAAATCTGCCTCTGAGTTATACAAATGGTCACTTCATTCTCTGCTGGGAGTTGCATTCCCATTGTTTATTCTGTATTTCTAATACTGACTTTTGTAACTTGTTTAATTTCCTGAGGCTCAGGTCAGTATCATTTAGAAATGTATCTTTTTTTTCATCTCACAAAAGCTGGATTTTATTTCCCAAATTTCCTTTTTGTCACACAGACAATGCAGTTATTGACAGGACACTGGAAAAAGGGCAGGCTCAGGTCTTGACTTCTCCTCGTCTCTCATTTGCATTGATGCCAGGCACTGACGCAGCTAATAACCATCGGTAAAATGTATCTCATTGTCAATGGCATGGAGGATAAAAATTAAGAACTTTGTTTTTCTCAACGATTTACATTGTCTTCTGCATCCCAAACCTTTCCTAAAAGTTTTTAATCGTAAAGGCCGAGCCTCAGTCTTCAGCCCAATTTGTAATCACAGTGACTGACAATCTGCAGCCAGACATTGGTACCCCATTCCTACTGTATTCCTACCACTTCTGTAGTCATAACTTCATGAGTGCCAAACTCTTAATTAATGATGGGGGTAATTCATCAGCTTGTGTATTGGTAAAACTTTATCAGCAAGTAATAGAATGGTAAAAGCCTTTGAAAGGATTTACTTCCCATGTAATCCCAGGACTGAGAGCAGCAGTGAGATGAGACAAAGTAGTGAGAGTCAGAGAGAGAAGCATGAACACCTTGAAGCCAAACCAAAGTATTTGTTGTAGAGCTACTGCTGTAAGTTTCACTTTGCTTTGAAATTTAACATGATTTTAAGCTGGGTACCAAGTTCTGCCCCTTCAGAGCTAGAAAGGTCAAGGAGTGTGTCCAAAATCCATGTCTGCTGAGGAAGAAATGACCAGAGTCCTCTGATAAAGCTCCCCAGCTTCAGAGGGATCCAGACTCCATCCTCTGAATGAATGTCTCCAACTCCCAGCAGAAAGCAGCGCTACCTTAAAACTCACTGATAACTTCTATGCCTGTGATTTTCCTACCATGTGTTTTATACTGAACTACACTGCTCGAGGCTTATCCCTGGGCTCAAATTGCATCACCAGGGTGGTTTTGTGGTCCATCAAGCTGTTGAGCTAGTTATGACACTGGTTCTGTGGTTTTTCTGAGGAGCTATGGACACTGAGGAAAACCTTCTGTTCCCCTGCAAATGCACAGTCTGATGTTCTTATCCACCCAGTGCTCCAGAAACTGCAAAAGGAAATGGCATTTGTGGTAATTGCGATAGCATAAAAACACAGTCTAATGCACACCTGGGGTGAAAACCTCATGTCATTGACTCCTTTCTCTTGCAGCTATTATAGCAACCAAAATAATATCTTGCTTCATATATAATGATCCCTGCCCTAAAAGACTTCTATCCAGAGCCCATTTGCAGGTGCAGCTGATAGTGTGGGGTGATGCCCAGTCACTCAGAATTGGTCAAAAGTACATGAGTTTTAGCTACATAATCCTTGGGTAACATTGGTGAAGTCATCCATGTGCAAAGGCAGCATCTAATTTAAAGCACTTAACAGTGGTCTAAATTACAAACACAGTCAGACCAGGTACTTTTCTGTAGTCACTGCAGAGAGAAAACATTGCTATAGCCAGTTCAGACCCAGCTTATCCCCCTCTAGGGTTTCCTGTCTCTTCCATTCAACAAGAGAGGATGAACAGCATGTGAAAGCAGGTCATTACTGCAAGCGGGAGGTGGACTCCCTACTTCATGGGGGAGTTCTTAAGTGCTCTGATATTATCTTGTCGAAGACCTTTTGTACAGGTTGGTATCCAGCTTTCTGCACACTTGCAGAATTTGATCTTTTGCCCCACACTATGATTTCTGGGTTCAATCATTTTGGCACATCCCACTGCTGTGCTAGAGTCAACATACATAATTCAGCATTTCACAGAATCCTTACACAGCTACTCAACAGGCTGGTGCGTGAGATTAAAGTCCATCATGGTTTTCCAGGAAGATCTGGAGGACAAAGGCGGGGGTTATAAGAACAAGAGCACTGAGTTATTTAGTAGAGGTCAGTATACTATCTGACAGAACAAACACTTCCCCCCAAGAATGTAAAACGATGTTCTCTGTTCTGAGGGTTTCACACAGCAGTGACTGCTGCTTACCAAGGGTGCCGTGCTGCTTGCTCACAGGTGTATCTTTTATTAGGATCCTTCTCCATCAAATTCCGAATGAAGTCTTTAGCTGTAAAAAAAAAGAGAGAATAATTTAAAGCAATAGCATCGATGCTCAGTTCTGCTGCAGGATGATCAGCCAACAACACTAACTAGGCTACCAAGTGCCATCTGGCCACTGGACTAGAAATTTCCCTGGGTCACTTGTCATTTATTAGTACAGATAAAACCAAAGTGACTTAGGACTAAATCCAAGCTATTTAGTATGGCAGATAAAAGCTAAAGGCATCTACTCCTGCAAGTATATTTAGGTGTGGGATGAATAATTCAGAGTCAGCAGAGTTCAAGCCTGCCAGCTTGCAGCTCCCTGGTCAGTCAAATGCCTCTGACCATCTTAGTGGTCTGAATATGGCCACATCTGTTGGAGATGCTGGAAAACTCAGTGGGAAAGGCAAGGAGGAGGTCAGATATCACAGTAAGAGGAGCTTCTAATTGCTAACTCCAAGCAATCACACACATGGGCAGTTGTGAGGACATGTCGTGTGTTTAACAAACAAGTCACTGAGGAAAATGGTCTCCCTTGGGCATGAGGTAGTCTGTTTTTAATCGACACTAGAATGGAAGAAAGGGAGATTGCAGCATGATGTACATCAAGTAGTTTCAGGAGGGAGTAGCTGAAGGAGCCATAGCAAAGCCAAATATGGCAGAAAATTTTTTGTGCTGATTTAGGTGATGTACTTTCCCTCCAAGATGCAAAGGGGTCTGCCAGCAGACCTTCATATTTTCTCAGAAAACCTTTATGGGCTTAAAAAAAACTTCTCATCACATATGTTTTTAAGCAATCCATCACAATGATATCTGGCCTGCAGATGTAAGCAGTGTGAAATGTTGTTCTGTGCAGAGATAACAGGATACATAATCATCTTTAAAATAAAGCACTTTTAAAAAATATCTTCCCTGCCTTAATCAGTAGTACTAATGAATCAGAAAACTGCATTTCTAGTGATATTTTTATCTTATGAAATGTTTCTAGAATTCATTTCTTCTCCTGCGTGAAATGGCAGATGTTCCTCCAGGTTGGACAGAGCAAGGACACTGAGCTTGCGTGATGTCTTGGAGACCACACAGCACGTCAGGGACGCATGCAGGGTGCAATGCTGAACATGCCCTGGCCATCACCTATAGACACTGATGCTGGCAGACTGTGAGCCGTGCTGGAGCCAGAAGCCTTTATGCACATTTTCCTCTGACAGGATAGTATATCTGCCTCCCTGCCAGACTGACTAGAGCTACGGATTAAATGGTTTCAGCACTGGGTGGGGAACTGGGTGAGCATATCTGCAGCTATCTGGATCCGACCACACAGACAGTACTCCCAGTTTCTGAATCTGCCTACTCGCCTCATTTGGAAGCCATTAATTTCTTGGGTTCTTTGCTGTATACGCTGCAGACTTGCAGCGCAGTTTCAGTAACAGAGCCAAACTAATTTGCCACCTTATTATTAATGACACAAATAATTTGCATTTTATCTGGATATGATGGAGAAATGAAACTGCTTTGTCTTCTTGGGACATTCTGCTATATTCATCTTCTGTTCCAGCTACTTTTTTGTGCTTTGGACAAAATGGTACTTAATTTGCTTTTCTGCAGAAATAATGTCCCATAACTACTAGAGCTGAAACAAATGCATATTCCCAATGGTTTTCAGTTAAAAGGAACTCCACACATGATGGAGGGTGCATTCTGCAAGAGGCAGGCATGCATGCATGGTTGTTGCACTTAAATGAGCAGTAGCTTCTTACCAGACTCGGAGATGTCATCCCAATATGGAGAGTCAAACTCATACTCTGCCTTAAGGATCTGCTCGAAGAGTTTGGAGTCATTTTCATCATAGAAAGGAGGATAGCCACAGAGCCTAATGGAGAACAAGAAAAGAGACATATGACCATCGGACCCACCTCTGCCAGGAAGGTAAGAAACAGGGAGGGAGAAGAAGGAAAATGTCTTGTTTAAGACTTGCCCTATTAAGTTTTCAAGCAGGTAAGCATTACCATGAGAGAAGTTCATTCACGGATATGTAAACCCACTTCTGAAGATTGGCACTATCCTCAACAAAGAGGAATTCTTCACAGAAAGCCAGTGCAGTTGATCCTACACTGATCCGTGAAGATATCCTGGCCTCCCTCTGCATGCTTTTGGGTGTTCAGCCAGAGGAATAGCTTTATTACACAGCCATGAGTCCTTCTGTGCTCTCCTATACAAGTGGTAAAAGGAGCTTTCATGGGCTACACCCTACATCCACACAGCATCAGTCCCTGTCAGCCATCAGCACTCCCTCTCCCCATCCAAGAGTCTTCTCCATACTGGCTTCACTGCTGTGGTCATCCTTTTGGATCATTCTCACCCAACACCTTACACAAGCCATTTACACCAGCTTTAGTGTCTCCCAGACAGCAGAGAGGCAGTGCAGAGAATCTGCAGATATGTGGGCACAGCAGAGCCCTGAGATCTGGAGACACATAAGAGGTGACAACACCTACCCAGACACCTTCATGGCATCAGGACGGGCTTTGAGCCCAACCTGTGATGTCTATATTGTGCAAAAGATCATAGCTGTATGGAAAGGTTTGTTGTACAACTGGGGAGCAACCAGCCACTTGCATGGACCTGTTCTGCAGCACAATGGGGAGGAAGAACTGGTGCAAAGCAGGACAAGGGTGCCCACAGATCTATCAAGTAGAGGGCAGGATGCGTCTGTGGGTTGTGCCATGCTCTGTGTCCCCAGGCACAACGAAGAGGATGTCTGGGAGTCATTCTACCCCTGCAGCAGAGCCGCTGCACATGGACATGCTGCTGTTGCAGAAACACATGGAGAACCTTTCCCTTCCTCACTTCTGCAAGCGATTTTGCTGCCCACAGCAAATTGTTTACCTTGCCTAAGGCTAACAACAGTCCTGTCCTGGTTTTCAGTATTTATAATCAGACTTCTCAGAATACCTAGTCCCAGGACAAGCAGGACACTGAACGTCCTTTGCCTAGTTTGAGCTAAAACACTCCAGGTGCATCCTTCCAGTGCTGCAGACAGCAGGACAGTCAATCTGACAAGGCAGGACTCCTCCAGCCCTGCAGATGTGGGAAAAACACATCCAGCACTGCATTAAGCAAATGCACCGATAAAACTCGTGTGTCCGAGATCCCTCATGTCCAGCTGATGCTGTACACAGTAGTCTGTCCCTCTCTATGCAGATATGCCAGCAAAGATGCCCCTTCGGGTTTTAATGCCAATGTTGGAAACTGACAGATTTACCTCTAAGGCTGGTCCAAGGTTTTAGCAAACCCATCCTGCTCACAGTTAAACAGGCCTTTCTGCCTCTACTGTCTTATATAGAAATTTATTAATTTTATCTTTAGTCTACGGTGTAAAGTATTCTTTCACATACTTCACTGATATTGAAATTATCTTTTTCCTACCTTTTTCTTAAACCCTGAATCAATCAACCTTAATAAAGTATTTAATTGGAGACAGACAGCCATTATAAACAGACCAAAGATCTAGCTGAAACACCACACTGTGGCAACAACAGAGCAAGAGAGGGGAACTGTAAGAAATGAAATGCTCAAGTTATTTATAACCCAAAGGCAGCCAGCTGCCCTGGAGGTGATTTGAACTAACTCAACACTTGAGGGTGAAAGGAGCAATGTTTTGTTAGCTCTGAAGAGCCAGTGTGCTTGATAAATAATTTAAATGCTGAGTGAGATGTTGATCTGCGTCAGATCCATACTGACCTGGAAGAACTCTATTGAAATTTGCAGCGTTATGATGAATCCACTGTGGTTCAAATGAATCAGAAATCTCTCTTTTCCTTGCAAAGCAGATGATAAGACAGTCCCCATTTGTGTCCCACTGGATGACTGCCATTGTCAAAAGCAAGTAAAATAATCTCCTGCCAGATGAGCATTTATTCTCAGGGCAGGACTGCGTACCTACTTAATGGGCCTGCCGTTGTGTACAGGGCTCAACGCAGCAACTCCTACGTGAAACCCAGTGGCAGAAGTTGTGTATGAGAAGGGCCATTAAAAATGGTGCATTTAAGTAAATCCAAAAAAGCCACTATGCACCTGGATAATGAAAGAAAAACATCCGGTAACATTAGTGCAGAATCTGGATCCACAATTAGGATCCAGCTTAACAGTTGATTTATCAAGAACATTTCTATAACTTGTTTTAATGTAATAAATATCAGCACTTACATCCCACAGTCTTGTGGGGGATGCACACAAACTGATTTTCACCTTCCTCCTCTTTTGTCACAACCTTCAAGGTTTTGGGTGCTTTATTGAGGGGTTTGGAAATGCTGGAGTTGACAGCATCAGCGCTGCAACTGTTAGAATGGCCACTGGAGGAAAACTGCTCCTCCAAAGGCACTCGGAGCCATCGCTCTGTCCTTCTTCCCCTGGGGACACATTGGGCTCCGTATAAGAAGCCTGACAGCCCTTCATTAATTTCTTGCCTTCCTCAGCATTTTCCTTAAACAAAACCAAACTGCTCTGATAAAGCATTTTAAGGTGGGCAGACAGCGCTGCGCATGCCGAGGCGCTGGCAGGCTGCTCTGGAGAGAGAAATAACTCTCTTAAAATGTGCACTGTACTAATTACCTTGGCAGAGGTACAAGAGCACAAGTTAAGGCTGCTGTGATTTATACATGCTCGTGGCAGCAAAAAGTAGGAGCCAACTTGGCCAGAAGACCAACTATTATCCTGGGCTGCATCAAGAGAAGCGTGGGCAGCAGGTTGGGGGAGATGATTCTAACCCTCCTCTCCACTCTCGTGAGACCCCTCCTGGAGTACTG